AAACCAGTGTTTGTTTTGTCTTTGTGAAATTCTCCTTTTCTGAATGGATGTCATGGCTGTGGGTCTGTGTTTCAGTGCTGGAGGTGGCCGAGCTCTGAATAAGCCTGGCAGGCTCATCTTAGAGGCTCATTTCCAGAGATCCTTTCCCTCCTTCCGTCCTTTTCTTGTCTTGCCTCCACCCTTTCCCCAAAATGGCAACATGGCGGTTTCCCCATAGGTACAAGAAGTACCGGATCCGGTGTTTCCGCTGCTGGAACATCCCAAGGAAAAACAGAAAGTTACGCTCATGGTGCCCTAAGTGCGGAGAAAGGCTCCATCTGGCAGTGGCTATGCCGAGAAGCAGGAAAAGGTGATTTCCTTCTTTTTCTTTTTCTTCTGAAATTGTGCTGAGGCTGAGGAAGTCCAACAGCCTTGTTTGTCAAGGGCTTTCCCACTCCTCCCTGTGCTGCCGAAGCCACGGGCCTAACCTGGTGGTCATAGTTCTGAATGAAGCCTCTATTCTCAACAACAGCTAAGTGGCTGTGGTCAAATGCACTGGGCAGTGTCCCTGGATAATGCCCAGGTGCTGCAGTTCCACTGGAGCCAGTGACCTATGCACACAAGTTTGCCCGGAGATGGTTTTTTGCCCTGGAAAACACCACTTTCCCCCATGTATCCACCCCCTGCTGGAACTCCCACTCTGATTTGGTTACAAGAGGTGGCATTGCTATAGAAATCTTCCCAGGTTGTCTTTCTCTGGCCCACTGCAGAGAGTCCTGGACATGAGAGATGTGGGCTCTGCCACCACTTGACTGTGTGACCTTGGCCATGTCACTGCTTGCTGTGACTTAGTTTCCCCCTCTGCCCCCCACTCCTCATCTATTTACATGGTGAACACTGGGCTGGGAATGCTCTTTGGCTGTGGGCTTGTACAACTCCTGCTGCCCAGTCTTTCCCAAAGCCTCTCAGGGCTTCTGTGGCGCATGTAGATAAGGAGTAAGGACCCCTGGCTCTTTCTGTAAAGGAGGTGCCCACCGGCCTGACCCCTCTTTTACAGGCCGTCAGCTTCAAGGAGGCCCCTTCTGTTCTGTCTTCCAGAAAAGGCGATGATGACATCCTGACACCTCCCATCAAGGTCCTCTACTGTTAACTGTGTGGGGGCAGTCCGATGAAGGGTTTGGCCAACTTGGCAGGCCCAAGGCATCATTCCCAGGAGCGGGCATGGCTACAAAGCAGGCACCAGCTCCATTCAGCTGCCCTCCTGAGCCTACTCTGGCTGCTCAGTACCGAGAGCACAACTCTGGCTTGCATGGGCTGCCCAGATGTTGGGGCTTGATGGCAACTCCTGGGTCTTGCAGGGCTGACAGCGCTGCCAAGGTAGATCCTGAGATCATCCTTGGAGCAACAGCAGAATGTGAGGCGGTGGGGAGGGAGACGTTTCAGCCCGGTCACTCTGCAGCCAAGCAGCAATCTGCATCTCCTCTGCCCTGATAGTCCTGGAACTCCCTGCCAGCCAGCTATTTCTGGAGCCCCTTGGTCCAGCATGAAAACCCAGAGAGAAGAACCAGCTGCCAAAGTGCTTGGGAAAGAAAAAGAGCAAGGTTTCTTCATTAAACTGTGACCCTGGTTTGTTGCCGTCTCAAGAGCGGCCACCCTGGCTGCTGGCCTGAGACAAACGCTGCTAGTGTTTGACAAACTCTTGCTACTATGGACCAAAAACAGCTTTTCCTCGAAGGTTTGTGAAGTTTTTTAAGTGACATCTGTTGCCCCTGCAGTGGAGACCTTCCCCATGTGACACATGGGTGTCTCCCAGACTCTGTAGAGTACTTTTTCTCTAGCATGGACTGAAATGTCCTTTCTAGTTGCTTGTTTAACCATGAAGCTGGTGAGGTGGGGAGCAGTCCCATGGATCTGCCTTCATATCCCAGCCACCTTGGGGACCCACTCCCTTTCTGAGCCTCCAGAGCCCAGGGCAAGGCCCATTCACATGTCACATGTGGTGTGTGCCTGTGCTCTGCATGCTTGTGTATCGGTGGAACTATGTATTTTTGCAGCAGAGCACCAGAATGTGGTGTCACGGACTGAGGCCTGTTCAGAGTGGTGATGTGTTTTCCTTTTGGGTGCACAAGTTTTTGCACGGTGGTGGGGGAGGGAGGGAGGGAGAGGGAGGAGTTTGGGGCAGGGGCCGGGGGTCTTCTGGGGGTTTTGCGGCAGCAAGTTATGTTGTGAGCTGCATTTACACTTTGCAATAAAACTTCCTGGTTGTCACTGGAGGGATCCATCCCTGGGGTCTCTCTCTTGAGGGCTGGTGCTGGGGTGTGGTGAGAAGCCAGGGCTCCACACCAGCTGGAAGGGACTACAGGAGCTCATGCCTGGTCCAGTTCCCTGCTTGGGGGGCAAAGCCAGGACCCAGCCCTGCTGTAGAGGGGCCTGGGCTGGATGCACCTGGCGTGGCCCAGGCATGTGTTCCGCGATTCAGAGCCAGGCCACAGGGTGGTGCTACCATCTTTGCCAGCTGGAGGCTCCAAACCATGTCTGGAAGCTGCAGGAAGCCGGTGATTTCTGCCCCACCCAGAGCAGAGGTCAAGGCCCTTCCTTTGCAGGAATTCCTGTTTTCAGCTGAAGCCTGGTGACCAGGGACATGGAGCACACGCCTGACCACGCCTAGACCAGGCGCCAGCTGCTCATGCAGGGCCCAACACACTCTAAGTGTGTGCCCTGAGCTCTGGAAGAGTGCCTAGCATGGGGTGGGTGGGAAGACGCTTGGTGAAGCCCTGTGGCAGCATGTTCAGAGCTGCTGTCTGCACATGGCAGGGACTTGGGCACATATGTGGCTTTGCTCATGTGATGCCCATGGGCTTTTCAGGGCCCACGGGCCGCAGCAGCAGGGGCAAGAGTCAGCTGCTGAGTGACTGCAGCTCTACATGCACCTGGGGGTGGGAGGCTGGTGCCTGGCTGGGCCTGGATCTCCCTACCCTTCTTGAGAGCTCAATGTAGGGAGTTAAGGTCAAAGTCAAGGGGCAGGGGAGGGAGGTAGCAGGGTCATAGCTCAGTGCAGCAAGAGCTAACTCAGGGTGGCACCAGACAGGACAGGGAGGAAGGAAGGGAATGACTCCCAGAGATGCGGGGAGGGGGTGTTGGGTGCATATGGGGAGGGGGGAGAGGAACAAGTACTGAGGGTACACTAAGCCTGGGCAGGAAAAAGGAAGGGTACTGCCAGCCCCACCTCCCCCTCCCCAGCTCTCCACACGGGACTGAGCAGGCAGGGGGAAGATTTGAGTATGGAGGGAGGTCAGAACCACCCTGCTACATGGCAGCAGCCTAGGAAGTGTCCCTCCGCCCCCTCGTCTAGCTTTTGCAGCCTCTTGAGGCTCTGCACTGGTGTTGGCCCAAGAGGGGGGGAGGGGTGAACGCACACAACCTCCCCAGTGTTCAAAGTCATGTTCCACCCTCTGGGTCTGAGTGAGGTGCAGGGGTGGGGAGCAGGGCAGTGCTCCATGCTGGTTATGGTAGCTGTGGCCACAGGGCAGCAAGGACACATGTTGCTGCTTGGGAAGGGGTTGGGGGGCAGGGATTCTCCATAGTGGGGAGTTGGTGGGGGAATAGGCAGGGGCATAGCGTTCTCCATGGTGGGGACACCTGGTTGTGGGGGGAGTCTATTAGCAGGGGGGGCCTATGGGATGCTCTGTAGGGGAGTGGAAAGCCATGGGGTTTTCTTTGTGGGGTTGGGAGTCTGGCACAGAGGATCTCTGGGCAGGGTCCAAGGGTGGGGGTCTCCACTGTGGCGAGGGTCATGTAGGTGGCTGGAGGAGGTTGAGGGGGGAAGAGCCATGGGGGTGATCCATGGGTGGGGGCATGGGTTGGTCCCAATGGGAGGGGTATGCATGTGTCTGGTGGGGGCTGGCTATGGTAAGGCTACTCAAGTTGAGGGGGTGGTGCTGGCAGGGCAGGGGTCACAGTATGTCTTGAGGGGGTGGTGACCAGGGGTGCTGCTCTGCCTGTGTCTGGGCAGGTGGGGGTGGCAGTGTGTGTGG